AACTCATGCAGAAGTGGCTCTAGATTCTCAGTGCTGGGCTTTAACCTGCTGCGCCACCAGGGAGGGCCCATGTTTTTAACTTTTTAACTGATTGCAAAGTCGTCCGTGGTTTTTGTTTGAAGAGACTGGAAAGGGTGAAAGAGCCCCCCGACTTCTGCCTTTCCTGTCGCCCACGACGTCGGGCCCATCTTGCGATCGTCCGGAGCACAGGGCGTTCTCAGGCGGGAGCCAGCCGGGGCCCGTCCTGTACTGGGTTTCTCCACCGAGGCACCCTTGGCCGGCGGCTGGAGGCCGCCACCCTGCACCCCGTGGGCTGTGGAGGGGCCTCCGCCCCGTCAGGCCAGCCCCACGCCAGCAGGAGCCCCGCGCCGGAGGGAGGCGCCCCCAGCACCGACCCCCCCAGGCAGCTTGGACGCAGGCTGCTGGGCTGCAGCCTGTCCCCCAAGGATGTGGGCCCTGGGCTCTGGCCAGCGCCTGGCCACTCGTGTCCCCGCCTCCACGCGGTGGCCCGTGCAGGGTTTGACCCAGACGCTTTCCTCTCTGCCTGCAGAAAGTGCCCAGCAGTCCGGTGGACGCGGCTCCTGAGAGGGGCCTGGAGGAGGAACTGCTTCAGAGACTTGGCAGGCCCGGCCTTCACCTCGCCGTGGACATCCTGCGGGCCCTGGGCCGAGGCGCCGAACAATGGCCCCTGCTACTGGGCCTCCGCCGACCTCTCCCTCGCCGCTGGAAACCGCTGCAAAAACAGCCCGGCTCGGCTCGCTCGCCCCCACGTTCAGAACTAATTTGGAACTTCCGACGAAGCCAGTGTGTTAAAATGGCCGGCTGGCGGGGCCGGTTTCCTCTGGAGCAGCAGCCGGGCGGGTGCACTGGACAGCAGGCCCCTCGGGGCCAGCGCGGGGCAGGGGGCTCCGGACACTCTGGGCACCCGGCCTGGGCTCCTGGTCTGTGAAGCGGCCCGAGAGGACCGGGGGCGGGCGCCCCCCATCCCCGCCCGGGGCGTGAACGGGCAGCTGACCTCGCTGAGCCCGCCTGTGGCCGAGGGGCCTGCCGGGCCTGTCAGCGAGGAGCAGGGGGCCGGCGAGGCCTGGTCTGACCCCACGACGGCCGGACGGCCT